AATCTGGCTGATGGGAGGCAGATTTGGAAGCCCACGGTCTGGGCTTCCTGATGGGACCGCTGGGCTGTGGAGGTGGGAGGGCTGGGGTACAGAGGGGAGTCCGTAGGACTTGCCCCTGGAGTGGAGGTGGGGGTGGGGATGGGGGAATTAGGAGTCATCAGGGTCCCCCCCCAGCATCTGGGCCCAGCATGGGAGCCCCTCCCTGTCCTCCCCACTGCACACCGTCTCCCTCTGACTCAGTCTGGGGAGCACTCACCGGGGTCCTCCTCCTTGAAGCCTCTTTGTCTACAGAAGGGCCCCCATTGGCGGGTCAGACTTGTCCTGAGAACCCTGGGCTGTGGGGAGGCGGAATGGAAAAGTCCCCCGGGTCTCCCTCAGGAAGCCTCCACCTCCGCACGTCCCTCCTGGAAGGAAGGGGGTGACCTGGGAGGCCTCCCTCCTTGTTTGTTTCTCTCACTCCGTTTGCAAAGTATTTTTGGGGTGCAGGGAAGATAACCTTGGGCAAGAATGATTCCATTAGTGATTCCCAAGGGAGACCCGGACAAATAAAGTTCCCAAATCCTAATTACATCTTCTTAAAAACAGCAACAAAAAACGGGGGACGAGGGGGAGAAAGCTCTCTGCACCAGGGTCACAAAGCTTGGGAGCCAATCCTGTCCGTCTGCCTCCTCTGCATGAGTCCCCTTCCCAGGAGGACGCCGGTGTCCTTATCTGAAGGACAAAAGCATGCTGCGGGGAGGGACATGGCAGCCGAGAAGGACCAGCCCCCGGGAGCAGTGGCTGAAAGATGGGTGCTATTTTTGCCATTGTCATGATGGAATGTGCGCTCCTCCCCTCCCCCCAGCCCCCCAACACTCAACACCAGAGGCCAGCTGCCTGCTGTGTGGATGTGTTGGAAACACAGCGCAGGCCTCCCGACTGTGGTCACCCAGAGAACCGGGGAAGAGCAGCCGCTCAGAGGACAGGGGAGGGGGCCACGCTGGGATGCTGGGGCAGGACAGGGGGCAGAGAAGCCTGGCCCGGAGTCTGAAGGAACCTGGCCACCTCTGGGCTTCCCCCAGGGCCTGGGGGCGGGGCCACCTGGCCTCCACGGGAATCCCAAATTCCAGGAAGCGTGGGAACTCTGGCCATCTGGCAACTGGGGGTGCGGGGGACAAGCCTAAGACCCATGTGGCTTCCAGGTGAGACGTAGCAGCCCTGAGGAGCCACCAACACCACTGGGCTCCTGGTCCCCAGATCTGCCAGGGAGAAAAGGCATCCCCTCATCCTTCCACGCCAAGGGAGGGGTTAGCCGAGACCTCCAGGGAAAAAGCCAGCCTGAGGTCCTGGAGGCTCTTGGAGTCGTGGAGGGGCGGG